CCCCAAAACCCCAAAACCCCAAAACCCCATTGGGTAAGATTATCAATGATTTTGAGATTCTGTATTTAAATAAGCAATTAATAATAATTGTTTTTATTTTATGCATTAAGTATCGAATCATCTATAATTCATTCATAAATATTCTAGATACTCCTTTTATGATTTTTCCTTGGTATTCTGTTATCAGAATATATTTGATTTAGATTTTAATTTATCTATTGTTAATTTTAAGACGGCTCTCTTATAAATTTCTTGTCAAAACTCAGACGACTAAAAATTAATGAGTAAAATAGTAAGTATGATATATTTTTACTTACTTTAATGAATCATCAGAGAATTTAGGTGTATAGCCTTTTTTAGTATTAGCTATTATAGCTTGTTATCTAAGAGAATTTGATCTGTTACTAGGAGTTCTTTATGGACTAAAGATCGAGCTCTAATCATCTTATTAGTTGAAGGTTTTTATTTATTAGAATTGGTTATTTATTTGATTCTAAGATTGTTGTTGCAGATTCTATTGCTATAATCCAGATAGATCTAATAGATTGATTTGTTCTTCATAAAGCACATCTTCAGTCGTAATGTATCCTCTGTTGGACAATGGTGGTCAATTGTTATCTCTCTGAACTGCACTTTCCTTTATTTTGTATATTTTATGAGGATCAATATTAGGTCTCTATCTGTTAATTTAATTTCTGTTTGCAGTTATAGCTCTAAGTTCTGTTTCATTATTTTGAATAAGATTATTATGTCTGAATCTTCTCTAATCCTATACATTGTGTGAATTATTTGATAAAAACTTACCAAATTATCTTTATTAGTATTAATCTAATGGATCGCTGACTAATAAAAATTCTATGATGTTCGAAGAGAATTGTAATCAGATCGGGTTGATGTGGTTTAGCCAGTTCTTTTATGATCTTAGCTAGGTATAAGACTATTTTGCTTAAACTTTTAATAATTTTATCCTCTGTCATTTGGGAGTGAAGATAATCGCTTTTACCCTGATGTACTGTTAGAGATAATAGCTGTCATGTCAAGTATTGATAAATCTTCATTATTGTTCGTGCTATTTAGTAATAGACTATTGTTGTGTCTTTCCCTGATCATTTGTATCTCATTTTCAATCTTAACTTGTTCTTGGTTTATATTATCTTAGGTATAATTGGTGAACTAATCTACATGATTCAGATTTTAATTCAGTATATTTATCTTTTAAAGGCTATTGTATTATTGATGGGAGTTACTGGTGCTATTTTGACTAATATTCAAGGATATTCCTGAATTACCTTGCAACTAAGGGTTATTATGATTAGATTTCATAAACTGAGCTGATTTATTAACTAATTCACTTCCTTATTTGAGGAATTAAGATGCCTCAAGATATCTTTTCCTTTGACTAGGCTTTTGAGGATTAAATCTTGTCACCAATTACTAAGTCAATTGCTTTGGTGAATTCTAAATGTTTTTAAAAAAATAAATAGCTAGTTAAAAAAGTTGGTAATTATAATATAGCAATATACTTACTTAATCATTTATTAAAGAAGAATTTTAGTTATTGCCAGTTGAGCCAACAGATAACTTTCTTGGATGTGCGATAGAACTCTATGTAGATGTAGGATCATTACTTTTTTAGAATTATTTACTATCATTAATAACTTCATCCTCATCTTCATCATCTTCTTCATTATTTATTTGATGTTCTCTAATTACATCCAACTTCGAGCTTTTTGGCTTAAATGCACTAGATGTGACATAGGAGATATTTGAAGATGTTTCAGATATATCACCTCTATTTCTCAATTAATCAAGAGTCATTCCATGAATACCCAAGTATTAAGAGAGATCTTTGAGACTCTCTGAAAACTTTGGGGGCAAGTACTTCACCTATTCCATTGTAAATATTTTAGCATATAATCAAGTTAGAACCTTTCCAAATTTTATATCATCAAATTTTTCTATATGATAATTCAATTAAGTGAAAGTCTTTTATGTAGAAGGTTCATATATAATTTTTCAATACCTTACCTCCATTAAACAGTTTAAATATTCTGAGCTACATTAAAGTGAGGGTATTATATACAGCTTTATTATAAACAGACTCTTGCTATCTTGTGCTAAAGCCACTGTAAATAGACATTAAACTACTTTTAAATATTCTAATTAATCTACGCTATCAAATAAAACTCATTTACTCAATATCAAGGGGTTTTGGGGTTTTGGGG